ATCACAGTGACAGTGACCGAAATTGTTACAAACCTAGAAAATTTTATTGACAGGCATATCACATCTTTTTTGAAAGCAGCAAGCAGCAACAACCAATTTTAAGATACCTCAAATGTACAAAACTAAACTCATAAACACAGTGACAATAACAATAGAAGTGAATAACAATTATACCTTTTATTTTACTGATACATAGCTGAATGCGAGAGATTAATAGGAAGGTGCAAATTTACTTTGATGATGCTGGTTTCATATCAGAATGCGTCGACGAATAAAGGGTTTTACATCGTGAAGACAACCAACCTTCATTTTGAAAAATTAATCAATAAAAGACTACTCAAATCTAGTCATAACGAAACAGCATTGAAATCAAGGTGTCCGTTTGGCAGAGAAAATTTAGAATCAAATGACAGTGCTAAGGACGTGCTGAAAGGTATGGCCTTATTCTGAATACTCAAGCAATAAAATACATACAAGCAAGGCGGAATGTACAGCTATTAGTCAACGAGTCCATGCGATGGCGTTTAAGCCAATGACTGACGAGCAAACCATATCCAGTAATGCAAAGTTCGCAATGCCGTTTAAAGGACGTTAAGCGAAGGACATTACAGTCAGGGATGTTGAGAACACCGATGGACGTTTTCTGTACTAGTTCCCAAGAAATATGATAAGATATTTTAATGACGGTATTTCATACATGACATCAAGACAAGAAAAATGGCATTTTTCATACTATCTCGATGGTAGACAGAGGAAATTCAGCACAACAACGTTGTTCAGGATTGGCATTTACTGCAGTTTGAAGAGGCAATGAACATAAACGAGCAAAAAATGTCTTCCAGAGAATACTTCCAGGGAATCCAGGCACCAGTTTTAAATTAAAGTAAGTATATGCTTCAATCATCTTTTATGAAATAACATGAATGGTATGAACGTCACTTCAGCTCTGACCCTTACCAAGGGTTAGCACTTTTCCTAAAGTCCTCTCCGTTTCCAGCAGATTAACTTTGGTAGGCTCAGAAGATAATTTCTTCTGCTTCTAGGGAACCGATCAGCACAAGAATTATTTCTATCTTAACTTTCCAGATGTCTGATATTTCAATTCTCGATATGTCCGTATTTTTTCCTTCCCCTTTAAGAACATCGTTGCTTTCAGCTGGGCATGTTATAGTAATGATTCAGGCCAGCCTTCTTCGCTTTTTCTACCAAGACGATATCCGGACAGATCGTATTCGGAAGTCTCAAAGTATTTTCACTCAGTCTCTTCCACCGCTACTGTCGGCTGCCCATTTCCCAATTGTGTTGCCACCGGTAAGTCGGATCGCTTGCCAACGGACCATCGGATAAATGCTAACGAACCATTTCGCACAGGGAAATTATTTTCGCTACGGTGTAATCCTTCACTTGACACACTCTGCAGCTTGTTTGTGATTGCGTGTGCAGGATCGTTTCTGTGTACTACTTATTTTTCACTACTTCATTTTGGACGGCTATTAGAACGGTTTTCGTTTCGCCACAGAATCCACTTTTTGAGAGTCACTTGAAAGTCTGGTGGATGTTCATGTCTTCAGCGATTTGGTAAAGATACTATACATGAAGTCTGTCATTCTTTCCATCATTGTATCGGTCGCCCTTTAAATTTTCTTCATGATTTTCGGTATTTCCAGCTGTTTCTGTCCACGATGCACAGGCCATTAACCCCGACGACCGTCAGAGTCCTATGGTGATAAATGCTTAGAATATTCGGGACATTCATGGCGCATGTGAATGACAGTGCACAGTAACATTTTTCAGTCTATGTTCGAGCGGCTGTGGTATGGCCCAATTCAGTCAGAGTACCAATGTGCTCCATTCGACCCAAAATTTATATTTCATGCGTTCCAAATGCATATCATTAAGTCGTGGTCTCCTACGCATCTACTAGCAAGGTCATGTTCGAAAACAGCGAAAGAGGCATCAGATGAACGTTGGTTCAGTCAAACAATGGCATTTATAATGCCCTATAAAGGAATAATCAACTTTGCAAAATTGAAATACGGAAAAATTTCTAGAACTAAACGATTAAACAGAAATTTCAGTTTAAAAACGGCGGCTAGACCTGTGAAAAACTTTCTGCAAATATCATTTCCTTCCATAAGTACTACGTGTTCATATTTTCATTATATAATGTCCATGAAAATAGATTTGAAATTTTGGGTTTAAGTTAAATAAAATTTATATGCAGAGTAAGTCTCATGCATAATTACGCGATGAAGAAGTACGGAAGTAGTCATAAAGAATTAAATTTAAAAGCAAACACTTATTACATCTGAAAAATTTTTCTGGATCAGTGAGAAACAGATCGATACTAATCTACAATGATCGTCAATCCAGGATGGAGAACAGAAACGTCGATTAACAAATCGCATATATTAACAAGCACTTCATCTACATTGACAAGACCGTCAATCGTTGAAAACCGGAGTAAATGAGCACAGGAGGTCCAATGGGTACCGTAATGCTGTCCATTCACTGTAAAACTGCAACAGTTTTGACGATGACGATTAACAGTGATGTCACAACCTGAAGATCGATATCGCCACAACCTGAAGCTATTAATCAATGAGCCATTTCACATTACAGTCAGCCGATACAAAAATTGCAACGGCTGCGCTACGCTCATTAGCCATTCTTCAGCATGGATATTAATTAAATGTCTAACTAGTGACAAGTCGGGCGTGCCATTAGCAACGTGATCAGAGAGCAATTTCAACGCTATTTATTTTTGTGCATTGAAAATTGGCATTTTTTGGTGATATTTTTAAATAACGTACAACTTCAAGTTTGAGTCTATTACATAAGCAAAATATTTCTGGCAATTCTACTGGGTTTTCAGTTTTCCAACATTTTTGCTATAATAATAATGTAACGCATCGAGTACTGCGTAGTAGAAAGAATGAACAAACTGCCCCAGAACGTAAATCAGACTATTCTTTTAGTGATCCACGTTGCATAGTGGCTCCCTTGGTCGATGTCACTCGTGTCGCACTTCCTACAAGACAGTAGACAATGTATGATGTCGTGGCGTGCTTCTGTCAAGTTTGCTGTTATGTCAACGTACACATGCCTATAGGCTTCACTGATATATCAACGATCTTTATCGCTAAGTCTGATTTGGTTACCGACACCACTGATATCGTTATATTCCTCACGTAGTAAGTTAATTCTGTAATTGAAATAGAAGAAAAACCTCATTTACTGATCGTTTCTGAATTAAACAGGGAGCGTGAAACGACGCCACGAAGATGAGGTTCGAAACCACGAATACGAGATATGAATAAGTTCAGTCCCGAGATGCAGAAGTTTTCGGTTGGTTTGCTAATTAGTTTAACGGAAGAGTCACTGACAACGACGTTGTTTTGGGTTGCACATGATCAAGACTGATGTCCTTACGTAGTAAAGAACATACCCCTGAAGATGTTAGCAAAACAAATGCACTGGTGAACAATAAAACACTGTTGCTCTGTGCATATTTATTGCAATTGGGCTCGACTGAACAATCAATAAACGGACGATTCGTTTTAAGCTAATTTGACATTCCTACTACTCCACTCCAACGCTGGATTGTCCAAAACATCTCTGGATTTTGAACATTCTGCATTTTATCATTGTCAGTGACATTTTGCATTCCATGAATTCATGCCATTTAATATAGTGGGATAGTAGTTTTCGAACTACGGCAAGGGTGGTATTGCGCCATTTGAATCCGGAAAACTCTTATATATGCGTTGAGGACCGACAGCATAAAATTAGCGTTTGCTAGTAAAGTTACAATATCATGGGTATCTGTTTATCAACATCATCATGAGTTCTACGATCCACTGCTGGATGAAGACCTCTCCAAGACTTTGAAAGGCAGTTATGTTTTCTGACATTTTTATTGATCTTGATCCAGTGCACTTCTTCAGTTTATCTTGTATGTGACCTAAAGATCTTCCTACTGGTCATTTACTCCTTATTGAAACCAACTCTAATATATCTCTGGCATAGCGATAGCCGGTTGTTCTTGCAACGTGCTCTGCCCCTTGTTTAATTACAGCACAGACATCCATTTATGCGACTACGCTTTGACTGGTCTACCAATTTGCTCTTGCTATCGTTAACGTATACTTTCCATGCTGCGATGACGTCGTGTGCAATTTATGAATAGCCTTCAAGTATACTGCCAATGATCCGTAGCCATAGGTTAGCATCGGGAGAACAAACTTATCGAGAAATCTTTTTCAAACACAATGACAGTTTCTCACATAAGAACATTTTCAACCATCCAAAAGTGCTTCAGGCCATTTTTACTCGTCTGCTAGTTTCGCAGAATTCG